TGCTATTCAGTCAATTCAATTTTTCTGTAGTTTTTGAGTTTTGCTGGGTTTGGCTTTAGGGTTTTGTGGCAAAATTGATCATTTACTTTAAATTGTATCCCTCTTAAAAAAAAAAAAAAGTAATAATAACTAACTCTAAACTAACAGGGACAATTTGTCCTTTGTTGTAGTAGAATAAAAATTACTTCTAATTTTCAGAAATGAAAATATTTCTTTATGTTCAGCAATAGTCAAAAATCACCAATCAAACCTAGAACTTTGTAGTAAATCATATGTGACATGGTATTAGCCAAGTATTTTCCAGAATGTCCACTACCCAAATTTTTTTTTTTTACATTTAATTTATACAATTTAAATACCAGATTCTACTCCCTCTAGCCATGTTAATACAACAGAATACCCATCAATTTAGCATGTTCAATAGATATTAATAGAAGAATCTGCTTACAATGGAAATAGGAAAAACAGAATCCCCTGGTCACAAAAATTGAAAAGTTGTCTTGCACTGAAAAGACACTTTTGAAATCAAAGAGGACTTGAGAGTCTTACCAATTCTAGGGAGAGAGTATGAAATAGCATAATTTACACTAAGTCTATTATAGACTACACACTAAATCTTCCACAAACAGCATCCCTGTGCTACATTCAGACTGAAGACTTCATTGTTACAGACACCTCCTTATACAATTTGGAGTCCTGAAATCAGCATAGCAAAATGAAGTCTTCCTTTTTTTCCCCTTTTTTTTTATATTTAAAGAACTCCTTTGTACTTCTAATCTGTAGAAATGTTTTTTTTTTCTTTTTTAGTAGCCAAGCTACTTGCAAATTATAGAAAGATCTCTCTGGAGACTTTGAAGACTTCTTCATGTCATTATTTTGTTGCTTATGTGAGTGTACTGTTCGGATATATCTGTTAGGCTGTTATTGGTAAACTGCCATTTTGCAGGCCAGTGTGAAAACAAACAAAAAGCAGTTCATGGAGCAGTTCAAGCATTACCACTAACAGACATGATCTCAACTACAGCCTGAAGCTATAGTATGAACTACCATTCATGTCTAGAGACAGCAGGGCATGCCTGTTGATGCTGAAGTACAGCCTTTCCTAAGAAAACTTTCCCTTCTGTATAGCACTGCTTCTTTGTTTATGAAACAAGCATAGGGTTCAACAAGTAATGCAGATAGACAATGACCAGCAATGACTGCAAAAGTTCAAAATAATTAGGAGGACTTTTCGAATGTGAACATCTGATGGGAGTGGTAGATGAGAGACAACAATTAAAACTCCTTTTGTTTATTCAGAGAATCTGCATATCACATTCACCTCTGACAGCAACTACTGCATTTGGTACAGATGGTCACCTGTTGCACAGTAGCAACAAATATGATGCTCTTCATAGGGTCATCAGCCCCTTGAAGCCTGGGCAAGGTTTGAATTCCCACAGGCATGAGCAGGACACAAATTGTTGGCTCCACTCAGGCATGGAAGTCCATACAAAGAAAAGGCAGCTTCTGTATTGTGCTTCAATCGGTTAATTGAAACAGGCTCAATAATATCACATTTTAACAGTTCAGAAAAAAATACATATGTGATTTTGTTTTTTCATTTTCTACAAAATAAAAGCTCCTACCAATAGTACCTGAAAGGCACAAGCAAATTTTGCCTTTTTCATGGAAACCCTCTCTAAATACCATTTCCACTGCTGATGAAATCTTCCCTTACACATATGCACTGCAGAAAACGAGGCCTAATGAAATACAAGACGACAGAATAGTGCACCTTGGGGCATTTAAGAACATCTCACAAAGACTTACTGTGAAGAGCACTCCTTTTGGACCTTGACCTAGGTCTATGTTCTATACTGAGACAAAGGTCCCTCCGAGTTCTAGAAAGTAGAACTAGAAACATGTACAATAACTTAAGGTCACCAGTCCTGAAAGAGTCACGTGGTCCAAGACACCTTGTACACATTTTGAGGAAAATCCTAGGTTTCTTTATGCTGATTGGGTATTTGGGGAAAATGTATGGTATGAATTCTGTAAACAATACTTTTTAGATGGTTGAAGAAAAGGAAAACTTTCAAGCAGTGACAGCAAAGACAAGAGCATGATTTGTATATAGACATTTTCAAAACATCTTGAACTCCACAAACAACATAAATAAGGCTTCAGCTCAAAGGGGATCGATGTAATCACTTCAGTACAGAAAGCTGTCAGCTTCTCTATGTGCCTGCAAAAATCTGACTACTGATTGCCTACACCATGTAACAGAGGTTTCTGAAGCAAGAGTACAGAAAAGGAAGTACTTGTTATTGGTACAGTAACTACTACAAATCTTTCTTTGTAGGCAGACTCTTCCAACATCTGGAATGTGAGAAAACTTTTTGTCTTTTCCAAGTGTTATGGGAACAGAGAGCTCATGGGACCTTGACATTAATTGATGGGACCATTATCTGTTGCTAAAATTTCCATAATCATGTTATTGCCGTTTCTATACACCGGGGCACTGCTGATACAAAGCAGTATCCAATTCAACCAAACTTTTTCACCATCTGCTTTGAGAAGAGGAGGAATTTCTCTCTCTTTCTTGGACTTCATGCTCTTCCTACATGTCAGTGCAGTCTGTGCCAAGAGGGCACCTCCATGACCTCCATGAAATCTCTCTAATCTATCCTACAAATTTACCAGGACATTCCTGGAAATGACAAGTCTACACTGACTGCCTATGTTTATATGTTTTGCTTCCTTCCTAACACCGTCCACTCTCAGTTGCCTAAGAGTATCAGTCTAATTTCTGTATACCTCCATACATACAGCTGTTTTAGTTCTTTTTTTTTGTTTCATTTTTTTCTCTTCAGCTGCTGGAACAGTGCACTGAACTGTGCTATGTTTAAGCAAAAATAACTTGAATTACATTCTCCAGACTTCATCTGTGAATACGTTTTGTCCTCTTCGGACAAAAAAGAAAAACAAAAATACTTAGCTATATCTAAATGAAAATATTAGTATGATTCATCTTTTTTTCATCTGTTGTCTCTTTCATGTCAAAGAGTCATTGGGAATAGTGACAGAAGCAATGTCTTGGAAATGTCTGATAATTTTAATTTTTGTCTCAAAATGTTGACTCTTTGAAAACAGAATACCACAAAAATCTGACTCTGGACAATCTTCTGATGGAACAGACACAACTTTCAAAACTTCTCTGCTATATGTGGGTTGCCTTATACCCAAGATATAAGTTTCTGTCATTCCACAAAAGGAATAACAATGACAGTTTCCAAAAATGTTTCTACTCAAAATGTTAACACTGATTTGTTAATTGGTTTCCCCAGGACTCTCAGCTGCAGCAGACTCATGAATCATTTGCTGAAAGAATCAAACACTGGGTTTTGGTGTTTGGCATCTCTTGTATCAGCTGCTGAGGCAGTTCTGCTGGTGGACAGTCTGCATGACAGCTCCTCTATATAAGGGTCTGCTGTCTGGTTTACTGCTGAAGTACCTGAAGAGCCTTTAGATTTTGAAATTTCACTCAGAAACTGTATTTAATGACTATTTTCTTAGCAGGGAGCCATTCATCACGAAGCACAGTAACTTCTAAAGAAATAAGGATTTTCCAAAGACTTGAAATAATAGTAAGACATCAAATTCCTGTAATACGGGGTAAAAGGTTTTGAGAATGCAGAACCTGATGGTTCAGAAGAAAGAGCACCCCTAGTTAGCATGTGTCAACAACTAGAAAAACAAAGAGGAACCTCAGACTAGTCTCAGGAATCACAGAATTACAGAATGGCTTGGGTTGAAAGAGACCTCAAAGATCTTCTAGTTCCCGGCCCTTGCAATGTGTAGTTCCTCATTTCCAAGAGGTTTGATCTGTGGATCTGCCCCGAAGGCTGAGAGGTATTGGCATAGGTTGGTTCCCCTCCAGAGCAGCTGTTTTAGGAGTGGATGCAATCTGACATTTCAGTTCACCTGTCATGTACAGATCAAATTCAATCCAAAGGGGGTACAATTTTCTTTTACAGTGAAAATATTTTCATTACTTGCTGATACGCCGTCCTACAAAAAGTCTTTATTTCTACATTAATATTTCCCTCTACTCTCAGCACACAGGTCATAACACTGCTCTGTACAACACGTAGTGTTTCATCTTAATGGCATCACAGAGGTGATAATCAGATCTTTGTTATTAATATATGAAGAACATTTTTGCAAATGGATTTTAAAAATATGAATATTCTCTTCAGCTTTGCCTCAGAAGTGTCCTTGGTTCTGCTTATAGCTGATTATTTTGGGTGGCAAAAGACTGTGCAGGAGTTTTACGTAGCCTGCTCAGTCCCTCTCAATATATACCACTGAAATTACAGCACATATAAAGACAGCAGAAAAACAAATCTAATTTATTCTCATTCGCAGCTCAAAGCCAGCTCACGAACTCTGCTTTTTCTGAGGCAGCATGCATGGGCTCACACGAATCCCACTAAATTAAATATTTTACATGTCTTGTGAGGCAGTAAGGCTGCCCTGCCCGGTATCTTCTTGGCACATCCTACACCCGTACGCGGGTTTGTGCTTTTGCTTGTGCCCGCAGCCGGCACTCCGTGCGTCTGCGACGGCCACGAGGGCTCCTCTGTACGAGTAGAGGGGCTCCTCCGGCAGCAGGAGGCTGGCACAGAGCGGGACCGCTGCCAGGAGCCCCAGGGAGCACCTGAAGGGCGCCGGGGGGACGTCCCGTCGAAGGGCAGAGGCTCGAGCTTCTTCTGGGAGGGAGCGGGAGCGGCGAGAAGAGGGAGGAGGAGAAAAGCGGAGGAGAGGGGTTGAGAAGTAAGCGGGAGTAAGCGAGCCGGAGCGCAGAGGAGGAGCTGAACGCGGCGAGGCTGCGGGCAGGGCTCAGTCGGGCCGGGAGCTGCCAGGCGGAGCGGGCGGCCGGCGGGGGCAGGTGCGCGAGCCGCCTACAGCCGCAGGGCGGCGGCCGCCCGCGGGGCAGGGGCTCGGCTGGGCGCCCCGCGGGCCCTATGGTGCGGCGGCGGGACCCGGCTGCTGCTCGCCGCCTTCCGAGGGGGCCCGCGGAGCGGCGCGGGGCAGCGCGGCCCGCCGGCACTCGGCTGGCATGAGGAACCTGCCGATCCTCCTCCTCCTCTCCCTCAGCTGGAACCTGCGGCGGGTAAGTCGGCGGGCGCTCAGGCGGAGCAGGTGCGGGAGGGTGCGTCGTGACAGGGAGTGCGGGAATTGCGAGGGGAGCCGCGGACGGGGCTGGAGCAGAAGGCGCTGCTCTGCCCCGCCGGGACCGAGGTGTTTCACGGGCGCTGCTGTAAAAATCAGCCCGAGTATGAAAACCTTTAAGATGCCTTCCGTTCACGTCTGCGTCTAATCCCTGCTTACAAATAACCTGCGCTTGGGAAAGCAGGGCGATGCGCGTATCTGACCGGCCGTGAGCGAGTGCCCTCGGCGTTCCTGCTGGGATCCCGGGTAACAGGGCGCTGTCAGGCTGGAACACCCATCTCCTTAGCCTGGAGAGGAACTTTGGGGGCAGCTGGGCTCTGTGCTGGGCACTGCTACGGTTTGGCACACGTTCTGTGTTTGAAAAGTGATGTTGCATTGCCTTTGAGCGCGACCAAATTGATGTTGTCCAAGTAATCTTCGCTATAGATCACTGATAGCGGGAGGCTGCACTTACTCCTCAAGTGCCAGAGGTCGAAGTCACGGATTGCAAGTTTTCTTCATCTCAGTAGCTGATTTGATTTGCTCGTCAATTATTTAACGTTTCTGTGCAGTGGAACCCGCTCTCCTCAGACTTGCTAATTATAACACTTTTTGATGAGTAAGAGATCTACTGAATGTTTGCAATTGGGAAAGCATTTTTTTTTTTTCTTTCCAAAATCTGTTACGTGAAAGGAAAATGTAGATAAGTTACTACGTTTACTAAAGCCTTCATTAGAAATAGGAGCTATCTGGAGAGCAGACAGTACGTAGCAAAATGATATCTTCAGTTTAACTCTTAGCTTTCTATAATAACTGCTAGAAATCCTAATTTAAGGATCCGGACAAACTCCCTTGAAGAAATCTGCTTGAAAGTATAGAATGAAAATAGTCATAATATGGTAAAAGGAGGTAAGGCTCTGGTGTTGTAGGTGGTGAAATGATTAGTTTGGAGGGGAAAAGACATTAGTGTGAGTTTTGTAGCAGCCCCTGCTGTGCTTATGGTCACCACACTGCATTTTAAACAGCTGCACACCTGGTTACCAGGAGCCTGTAGGACAACAGGTTCTCAGTCCTAACTCTGGGTCCAAGGTTCTTGGATTTACAGTCACATATTAATTAATCAATTACTGTCATTATAAAAAGTTGTGTCTGATGAATCATAGACTATTACCAGACTCTGCTACTGTCTCCTAGAAAAAGGAGGAAAGATACCTCTCTTTTCTTTCTACTGTGGGGATATGTGTCTTTTGACTGGATGACTGAAGTACACATATTGATGTTTTATTTCATTATGATCTCTGAGAATCCAGCTGATATCAGTACAGTTTCTGGTGCCTTGTTTCTGTCTCCCATCTCCATCCCTGTCTCTTCCCATCAACATAAATAAGCAGAGCCAGATCTATAAGTGAATGAAGTGAATAAAACTTTAAAAATAGGATTTTAAAAGGAAGGCTTTTTTTCCATGTAGTGCTTGCTTGAATCAAACAATCATGCTCTGAGACCTTCAGGAGATAAAGTATACATGGTGGAAAAAGAAAGAAAATCAAGATTTACCATGTCAAAGATAATACAGGCTGACCAATTTCATGCTCTGTCACTCATATTAAACTTTCAGTTTCCTGACTTAATAAAAGAGCACATGTTCAAATAAAGTTAAAAAAAAAAAAAAAGCAAAAAAAAAAAAGCAAAAAAAAAAGCAGTAATTATGTTTATTTTCCTGCTTCCGTTTAATTAATTGCTTTTCTGGAGAAAGGGAAGCATTAGTGAATTCACTAGATAGTTAAGTGTGTTTGTGTAAATGACAGTTGGCCTTGGAACGCGACATGAAGAAGTCATTAAATGCTCTGGTGCATTACTTTAATGTTTTGTTCTGAGAAGTCCTTCTGTGAGAAGCCAAAATGGGCACTGATTGTGTGTGTGAAATGTCCAGCACATACTTGGGTAAAAATAGCATCAGTTCAAGTTGTGGTTTTCATTATCAGTAGTTGCATCCTTCATAAAGCATTTTGATTTGTGTTTCAAGACCCTGGCCTCTTTGTTAATTTGACACAGGTGATTGGTGTCCATCCAGAATGCAGATTTCTGCTGGAGATTCACAAGGAGGAAACAAAGTGCATGGAACTTTTAAAGCACTCAAAACCAGTGGACTACAAAGGTAAGAAAAGATGAACAATAATGTAGAGAAAACTAGAGTATCAGATTTTTCTCCCTTTACCTTCTTTGCTCGCTCAGTTGCAGCTGAGCAAAGGTGAGAATTGTGCCAGGCTGGGCATGCACTGGGTGTGATGCTAAATGAGAGAAAGTGTATGCTCGTGCTATGTTGCTGATAGTATTTTGCACGGGCAGAGGAGCTGCGTGCTGGTGGTGACAGGGAAGAACAAGTCTGAGGAAAAGCTAAAAGCCTTGTTCCAAATGTCTCTCTCTCCAGAACTTATTGAAAGTATAATACTAGTGGCAGAATCACTGGGTTTAGCAGGCAGAAGATGATGTAGGCAAAAGATAACATTCACCCCAAGAAGACCACAGTCATGCAAAGGAAAAATTGGACAGTAGTGTTACATTCAGAAAATTAATTTACTATGTTACTGTAGTGTTTTTACTTTCTTTGCAAATGTAACCAATGGTAATTTGAAATGGAAAGGAAGAATTTATCTTTTATTTTATGTATTTATATTGCATTTTATTTGAAGAAGAGGCAGAACTTTGTTAAAAGTTTGGGCTTTTTAGGAAAGTTGGAAGTCAGTATTGAATTTCTGTGTTGCTTTTGTTTGCTTGTTTTGTTTTTTAAACTAGCAAAAGTGTAAGTGTTTTATAATTAGTTATCTTTTGTAAACAGTATTCCAGAACATGTGAGCAGGGTAAAGTTGTTCTTGGAATGCTTTATTTGCATGCATTACGTGCCCAGTGCTCTTCTGGTAACATGTAAAATATCGAAGGGAAGGGTGAGTTTTCAGCAAGGTGCCGGAAAAGAAGTGGGAGATTTTAGGTCTATGAGCAATTACATGTTTTTAAGTCCAAAAGAAGATCTTGATTTTTGCAAAGTAATGACACATCATTAAATTTCTGTTGTCAAACACTTTTCAGGTGGTTGTAAGTATGTTGTTTCAAATTAGTTTGATTAAATTGATCATTGATGTCCTGCCTTTTTTCTCTTGTAGTCCAGGTATATGTCATCTCAGAATAACTGGGCTCCTTGGAAGATTGCAGCTCTTGTAGTGCAGTAGTTTTCCCTTGGTTCTGTTAGATGATATGTGGTGTATTTGTTTTTCCATAATCTGTTTTGAATTCTGTCTGAAGACGGTACCTCAAGGATCTGCCACCAGCAATGTCCTATGAGCATAAACACCAATCTCAAATCAAGATCCCTTGTCAACACCACTTCTTGATTTGAGAGTGTAAATTCCTCAGTGTATATTCTAATACCAATTCATACACAATAAAGTAATTAAAAGGATCATCAGTAGTTTGTGTTTTAATACAAGCTATTTTTGATTAATCCAGATCAGTAATTAAAACTATTGTAATAAAAATGGATCATTTACATTTTATTTGTATGAGTGATAAGATAGATGGCTGTTACACAAATAATATGAGTGTGAAGCCAGATGAATAAATAATTATTGGCCTGCTTAATGAATTAAATGATGAATTAATAAACACATTATTAGCTATTATAAGGCTTTGAAAGTCAGGCTTTCTTGAAGATCTGTTTTTGTGATCCAGATACTAGGCTGCTCCAAGGGAATCCTTGCCATACACAACAGTTTTATTTTGGGTTTCCTTGGGGAAGAAGGCTTTTCTGGCAGAAATATTGCCAGAGTGGGAAAGATGGGGGCTTCCTGACGGCAAACTGCTGTGTAAGGACTTTGTATCTTGGAAGACTGTATGTCTGATGCTGTTGATTCAGCCCTGCAGGTAGAGAAAATACAGCAGTGGAAGGGTTTATACATTTAATTGAATGCCTGGCTTAAACAAATGGAATATTCCACTTCAGAGAAGATTGGAATGCAGCCCCTATTGCAATGAACCCTTAGAAACTGTATGCTTGATATAATAGAACATATCCTATGCTTTGTGTTATAGATACCTTTATTAAGAACTTGTCCAGAAGAGTCTGTCAGAAGCATCCACTTCCTAAAATATTAATTCTCTCTGTGTTCCTATTTTCCTAATAAACTCTGTATTCATACAGAGATGTAAGGAGTATTAAAGCAGGGACGTGCAGATTGTTGCAGCGATGTTCTGACTGCTGATAAAGAAGAATTACTAATGAAAATTGGCAAGCTGGAACTAGTCCAAGCCCTAGCTCTGCACCCAAAACTTGTATTGCACTTGAAACACAATTCATTACAATAAATCCACAAAACCCACTTCAGTTTTTCCTGAATGAGAAAGGTAGTTATATATATCCTTGTCACGCTTTTCTGACTTCAGCAAATGCTACCTGCCTCACAAAAGTTGCAGTGAAACCCAAGGTTCTGTCTAGGATTTGGAAACGAAGGTTCACTGGGAGGCTTGGGCCCCAGTTATCAAATAAGCAGATATTAAAATTTTTCTCTTAATTTTTGGAGCAGCTGTGTGGCCTTCACATCTGTGTGTAATATGCTCCAGAATCTGACCAGTAAACACCACTAATGAATTTTGGAACTGCTGAGTTTTATGGGACAGGCAGTTTTTTCTTTGGTCTGGACAGTAATTACATTAGGAATACTGTATGTATACTGACTATTCTCAGCTGTGTGATAGGGATACATAGAAGAAGGATTTAATGATAGTAGGTATTTTTTTTTACGTCATAAAATGATGTTATAGTCATCTGCCTCATAACATGCTGTAGAATTTCACTGAGTAAAATCATTGGCTATGAAGTCCACAAAGACCTCGCTTACTTCATGGTTTAATAAGGCAACAACTTCAAGGTTTAATAAGGGTTTTGCATGGAAACACTGTATAAATGCTTCTTTGAACAATGTTAATGATATATTAAAAGTACATAACTTTCTACTTCGCACCCTTTGGGGTAATTTCAGGCATTAGCCTCTCTTCTGTTGGTGGAGAGCATTGCACTCCATGGAGGGGAAAAAAGCCACTCTCCAGAGGTCTGTGTTAGGGCCTTTGCCTGTGTGGTGATCTCTAGCAAATCTAGTTGTTTATTCAATAAAGACAGCCTCCATCCTCATCTGTTTATTCCCAAGGTATAGATGCACCTAAGCTGGAAGCCTGAGAAGTGGGGTGAGGTTTTTTGTCATCTTGTTTCTGGAGGGCAGGTGATTTCCATTCTAAATTGCTTACAAGTTACGGACCTTGAGATCTATGAGAAAACACTATTTCATCTTTTACCTTCTACCCATGCCTTGTATTTTTATAATAAAATAGAAAGTTCCTGTTATATAAATTGCACACACGTAAAAATTGGCTGATTGCAAATTTTGGTATTTCCTCTGTATTTAGAATTTTACCTTACAGAACAATTGATTCATTTCTGTTCCTTTAAGTGAAAAGTGAATTCTTACAATCAAAATGCTAAAACTAAATCCATAGACTTTGTAACAGGATTCTACAACAGAAAGACAGAATTTTTTTTTTTTTTTAATTCATTTTGGACTGAATGGCTATGCAGTTAAATGAGTCTTTTTGGATCTTGCTTTCCAAATGCATTTTTGTGAGACCTGACTGCCAGAAAACATATTTATTTTAAATATGACATCTTAACACTGAGGAAAGAATACAGGTGGAAATAGAAATGGCTTTGGAAAAAGAAGTTAAACCCTAATCTAATCATTGGAATTACACAACCGGTAGAATTTCAGTGATTCCAACACCGAATTTCTCTGAAAGCTCTTCAGAATGGTGGGGTAAATATTCTAGTGGACCAAAAGCTAGTTTGTCTAACTAACCTCTGCTATTAAGGTTATTTCTCCAGTAAGGAAGGTGTCTGTCTTGCATTCCAGACTCACACACATGTATATATCTCTGTATTGCACAAATGAAGGACTGACTGTGAGCGTAACTATGCCAACCTGAAGATCACTCTCTTCTCTTGTTTATGTTGGAGACTTACACAAAACTGGATGAGGTCTTTCTCTTGCTGGGTCTTCCCAGTCTTTTCAGGGTCCTTTGTCAGTTTGTGTTTGTTTTTGCAGCTGTTTGCTCTGTAAGGTGTGTTCAGTAGAATCATGGACTGGCTTAGGTGGGAATGGACCTTAAGGATCCTCAAGCTCCAAACCCACTGCTGTGGGCAAGATTGTCAGCTCAGTAGTTAGGGTTATGTTTTGGTTAGACTGCAGCATTGCTCAGATTTATCTGAGGTAGCATTAAATGTAGAATTTAATGATAATTGGACCATGGAACTTCTTTCATGCAGCACCAGTTGGTTGTTAAGGAACACTTTTTCAGATCTGAATTGTTGCCTTTCTTGCTTGTAGTACAAGCATGCTGCTTTTTGGTTCACACTTTTTTATAATATTTAAGGAGCTGAGGGGTCTGCTTTGAATGCTTAGTTACTCGTGGTTTTAATTACATGTTGAACTGTCCCTGTTAATGGAACCATGTAAAACTTTCTATGGTGAAAGTTATACTTAATTATTTCAGAGCAGAAAATAGCTGGCTAGTCTTATGAGGAGCCAGACCATAGGTGAGAAAGCACTTTGAATGAAAGAAGGTATGGGAAGTGTAGCTTCCTACTGAAAACTAACTAATGTGTAATAAATGGCAAAGATCAAGAAAATATCCTGGTCAGCCTCATTCCAGATCCCACATCATGAAGTTACTAAGAGTTAAGACAATAAGAAATGTATTTTTCAAAGAAAGGAGGCATCGAGTGGCCACAGGTATATTCTGCAATTTTGAAGGTCTAAAATCCCTGTGTCCCCAAAAGACACAGTAGAAATAGAAACAGAAAGTGAGCAATGGATATTAATAATTGGAGCCCTGAAAAAATAAGTTGTACAGCTGTAAGAAAATTAATTTTGTTCTTTGGAAGATTCTTAAAGAAACATCTGCCCTGTATAGTTTTGAATTTAAGTCCTGGTAAAGAGACATCTTTGCCTCTCTGGCAGGCTACTCTCCATGACATCCACATATCATGAAGAAGCAATTCTGAATACCACAGCTCTAAAAAATTACCAGTTAGTACAACAAATAGCTCATAGATGA